CCTCCCCCTTTCGACGAATAACTGTACAGATTACAATCAATTCAATTATTTGCGCTGGCACTTGCCTGGGATGGACACACTTAGTCCCTTGGGACTAAAGGCCTTGATGATGGGGTCCGGGACCTCGTACTCGCCGTCGGCCGCCACGCCCGCCGGGGCGCAGAGGAGCAGGAGGGCCAGGGCCGCCAGGGCGCCGACGGTGCAGGTGATCAGACGCGGCCGCGGCCGGCCACGACCCGCGGCGTGACAGGCGAGCATCTTGGCTCGGACGGTCTGGGACTCGACTGGTGACTGGTGGCACTGGTGGACGGCAACGGCAGGCTACGGATTCCGGACCGGACTGACTGTCGTCGATGCGCCGTCCGATCCCGCCACCACGGGCTAGCCAAGGGGGCCAACGACCGTCCACAATCGAGCAGCCTAGAGAACATGTATGAAGGTGTCCCAGTGGGGCTTCCCTCCTTCCGTACTGCGGGGAAGTCGTACACACTAAAGTGCGGAGTGGCGAGCATCTAGGAAGATTATTCGCTTGGGTAGATTTGTGCATCGTTCTACTGGTGAGTTGGCTGTTCTGCTAGCAGTAGTACACAGCACATGCATGCATGTGGTGGACTGTCTGCTTGTCATCAGGCAACTAAATGGAGAAAAATCTGGCTATAGCGCACTTATAACAGTGACGGAGCCTGTTTGATCCCCCAAGCAGGTCTTAAAATATTCGAGAGTAACCATGCCTGTCAAGTGTAGCTCCAGTTGCGGTAAAAACGCTATCCTGAAGGTCAGTTTACATCCTGCATAGGTTATGTTTTCGTTGCATCATTCTGCTAAACGCTATATTTTGCCTTGCATCGAGTTTTTTTGAGCTATTTTCCATTCTCCAGAGACCGAAGACTGGCGATGCCTTATGCAAGGACTGTTTCTTTTGGGCATTTGAAACAGAAGTTCACAACACAATTGTGAGCGGCCACCTCTTCAAAAAAGGAGATACTGTTGCTGTAGCTGCATCAGGGGGGAAGGACTCAACAGTTCTTGCCTATGTTCTTAAAGTACTAAATGAAAGACATGACTATGGACTCAACTTAGTTCTCTTGTCAATTGATGAGGGAATTACAGGTAATCATTAACTAAATTTCAGTTCGCAACAAGTTGCGTACTTTTTCATTTACAATGAATGTAAATTTCAGGGTATCGCGATGATAGTTTAGAAACAGTCAAACAAAATAGAGATGATTATCAGATGCCACTGAAAATTCTCTCCTATGAAGAATTATTTGGTTGGACCATGGATGCCATTGTTGGTCAGGTAAGTTTTTGGAAGTTTTTTCCCCCACACATTTGTTTTTGTTAAATAATCAAAACACTATACTTTACCATTTTAGGTTGGTCGAAAGAATAACTGTACCTTTTGTGGTGTCTTTAGAAGGCAAGCTCTAGATAGAGGTGCAACTCTGCTTGGAGTAAATTGTGTTGCCACTGGCCACAATGCAGATGACCTGGCAGAGACTGTCCTTATGAATATTTTACGAGGAGACATTGCCCGGCTGCAACGTTGCACATCCATTATAACTGTGAGGCACATAATTAGTAAGGTCAAGAGCTATATAACCTACTGTTGACACTGACACTAAACTTTTGTTGTGATTTTTTTTTAACAGGCAAGTGAAAGTGAGGGCTCAATACCCAGGGTGAAACCATTGAAGTACACCTATGAAAAGGAAATTGTGATGTATGCTTACTTTAAAAGATTAGTTTACTTCAGCACAGAATGTGTTTTCGCTCCCAATGCATATAGAGGCCATGCACGGGCATTTTTGAAAGACTTGGAAAAAATTCGTCCCTCTGTAATTATGGATATTATCCACTCAGGTACATGATCTTAATTATTCTGCATTTGAAGTGTCTTTTTTTTTCAATTCTAATCTAGGTATTTGGTGTACATCTTTTCTATAGGGGAAAGTCTACAAGTTAAAGATGATGTTAAATTACCAGTGCGTACTCAATGTACAAGATGTGGATCTGTATCATCCCAGGAGCTGTGCAAGGCATGTGTCCTTTTGGAAGGACTAAATCGTGGATTACCCAAACTTGGAATAGGGAAAACGAGTCTAGCTAACCGAGCAAGAGAACAGCAAGACGCTCAGAAGACAAGGATAGTGAACTGTGATTTTTAAGTTAAAACAACTATGTGGAAAAAAATCTCTCCTAAAACAAAACAAAAAAATCAAGATGGATAACTTTTACCACAACCTCATAGTTTATATTCATTAAAATTAAAACAATTTTAATTATGTACTTCATTTTATTAAAAAACAAAAAATTAAAATTTATAAGAAATAGACATCACTCCTCAGGAGAGGAAATATACCTTGTCATATTAATTCACAAGCTCTTTAATTCTCCGACAGTATCATGAGATGTATGCTGGATTCCGTGACCTGATCTCTGCTCTACAAACAGGGCAAAGGTCAGAAATGTCCTCACTACAGTCTTCACAAATACACACATGTCCACATGGTAGAAGAACCACTTCTTTTGGGTTCTCTTTGCACACGATGCAAAGTTGACTGTCTGGTAGTTCTTCACCAGGACGAGCTCGTTGTCTTCTTGCTTTCCTTGTTTGTTCTCTCTTACGAAGACGCTCCTCTTCCTTTTTCTTTTCAAGCCAACTTTTGTAATACCGATGAGCCATGATGCCAGCCAACCCTAGTCCTACAACTCCTAACACTATACTTAAGTACCTAAGAACAAAAACATAATTAAGATTCTATTCAACAAGTACCACACACTATGAGAGGAAAGTTTGCTTACTTAAATGTTTGCCTCTCACTTTCAAGTTTTTTACAGAGAGTATTGAGTGGCAAAGATGTCAAGAAAAATGGGAGCCCATCTTGAGATGGTTGCAAACGTAGTGATGCTTGGTCCTCTGTAATAGCCAGTTCACCAATGCCTGTCATTAAGACACCTTCTCTGACCATCTCTTCAGTCTTCTGTAGGCCTTGAGGTCGTAGACCGGTAAAAAACCCTACAAGGACAATTAACAATGCCATCTTGTAACTACTAGATATATGGTACACGTGCCAGCCATATTTCTGCAAAAGGGTAAAGTAGCATGCATGCTACACCTGCATGCAAGCTTTGATAACCATTCACTGAAACGGGACTGACTGAACACTGTGTATTTAAATGTAAAAAAATGATAAATAATACATTTTGGATTGATTAGGCTTACCCCAGATAAAGTCAACAAAACTTCCAGAAGTAGGTTCATACACATCAGAGATTGTTTCAAGATCTAGGTAATAAGCTGAGAGTGCATCTGAAACTTCAATATCAATGCTTCCACTCTGAAGTGCAAATGGGATTGAATTATAAACTTCTTGAATGGTTCTTTCGCGTTCACTCCTGAATAAAAAGAGAAAATGATCTTGTCATTAGGTCAGGGTATTTACTCTAAGGAGAACAGTACAAAGTGGCAAATAACACACCAAAAGCCAAAATTATGACGAGTAACTAGGTGCTCTTTAGTAGTGAATTTCTGCACAACACCAAAAGTATTTATGGCATTTTGACTGCGAATTGGACTACTGAGGGCCTTCACCTTCCCTCGTACAACAACATAATCCAGTTTTTGGCCTGGCTGATTGGCCACTCGGTCAAACAGACCCCCGTCAATTTCAACATATTGAACATTCTGGAAAAGAAAATAGTAATAAAACGAAATATAACTTCAACTTAACTCTTTCCTCTAAATCAGTCACATAAAATAGAAAGGCAAATACCTCAATTGATTTAATAGCAGATTTCTTGAATTGGAACATGTGATAAGCAACACCGAAAGCTATGGCATCAATGCCCAGGGCCACAGCCTCAACAAGATAATCCATTTTGCTGTCCTTTACCTTTTCAAAGATATAAAGATGCAAATAATGATAGGTGGCTACTCTGACCAAACAACAAATTAAACAGTGAGATCATAAAGAGGCCCTCACACTAAGCTATAATAGAAGACAAAAATTGAACAATGATAAGTAAAATTACAAATACACTTTGTGACACTACTTCCTTACAGAATGAATGTCAAAAGTAAAATTAGGACTAACCTAGTTTGACAGAGGACTTACTTTTCAAAAAACAATTCTATGTAAAAGCACCATTTTCCTTGCACCTGCTCACCAACTAAAATTAAGCTGTGAACATCTTGAATAGGTTTTTTAAGAGGGTTTTGGAGGCCATGCCTCAATAATTTTTTTTGCAGAAATCAAAGTAGAAAGTTCACAGGTTGAAGAGGTTGAATTTGAAGGGAAGGGAAATTACATGTTACCATAACTGCGAATAGATGACACAATATTATAGACAGTGTAAAAGTTTTATAAATGGACATTTAACACGTCTTTGGTTTAAGAAATTCGTAGAACAAAGCCTTGAAAAGGTGAAGAATTATCTAATGCTTTCTTTGCATACAATTTCTGTACGAATCAAAGCAAAATACTCTAATGCAGGGAGGATTTTATATCGAAGGAAAAGGGGGGGGGGCATCTGGTCGTCTGCCGTGTGACCTCCGTCCGCAGAGACAGACAGGCGGCCTCGCCATCTACTCCTCATTTTCACAAGTGAATTTGCCCTTCGTCGATCTCCGAGATGGCAGCTGGACGATTTGCTGGAACCAAAGTTAACTGGCCTTCACTTCTCGAACGTTTTCCCTTGAAAGATGACGCGAATTTGAGCAAAGTGCTGACGCTGAAGAAGAACCATGAAGCCTTCTTGAGGAGGTAAGGTCGCAAGCTAGTGACGTACTCTTGTTGCAGTTATCTGCACTCTTTTAGTTTATTCTTTGTCATTCAATGCTTTGGCTTGTTCTTATAAGATGTCTTGTTTGACTGCCAGTATTACTAGTTGCGTGTTTTACTAACTAAATGCAGGCTCATCGATACTCTTTGAGGTTATGAGTCGTCCACAGACATCGGATTATTATCAGTTTTAGTCCCTCATTTCATGATCATTTGCATGGTTCGCTCTACTGTTTCAAAGAGCAGCGTAATATTTACTGTGGTACATTTTTTCGAAACACTTCAGAAGCCATCCATGCTTTACCACATTATAGAGAGAGATTTTATTGAATGACTATCATTTTAAAAAAATGTTTCTTTTGCCTCACAGCTTTTCTATCATTCTATCCTTGTATTTTCATTTCTGTATAGGCTTGCTGTCCTCCCAGAGAAAGCACCTGCAATTGATTGGGCTGCTTACAAATCTAAAATTAGCCCTGCATTCGTTGATGCCATCAAGCAGAAGTACGAAGCCATCTCCGTTCCATACCCCAAGAGCAATGTTGATGATTTGATCAACAACTCTGAGAAGGAAAACGTAAGGATCTATTTGTTTAACCAGTCACTTGCGTGAGTGCTGTATCATTTTGTCTCATGCCATTGTTGAAATTTACTATATATAGGACCAGAAAGTGGCTAACTGCAAAGCAGGCAACTTGAAGCTTGTTGCTGAACTTGAGGAGGAGCTGAAGGCGCTGGACAGCAAGCTGCCCATTGAAGAAATGACCATTCAAGAGTACAAGCAGGCCTATCCAGATGTTGTACGTATCCTCTGCACATTACTGTTAATGTATTTTAGATGGCTCATTTTATTCACAAGGAAACTTTGTAATTCTAGGGTCCAAGTGTTTCCCATCCCACTCCCCATCCTCACGACGACCCGGACAACAACAGGGAATGGCGTATCTACATTGCTGCTGCTGACAAGGGCGACAAGTCTGTTCCCAGGCCAGTTGGTTAAAACTAGGAATGTAAATTTTATCCGAATTTTTCACCCGAAACTTGGGTGATAAGTGTATAGAAATCACATAAGCTGACACTGATTTATATCTGTTAGTAGTTTAAATTGTTCTGCTTCTAAAATTCAATTAAACTACCTCCGGCTCTGAACAGTTCATTGATATATTTATTCCTCAGGGGGATTTTATTTATAAAGTTTCACAGTTTATTTTTTATCACACATAGTTAAAACTTGGTCACAGTGAACAGTTTTGCAAAATGACATAATTATTACAATTGTATTTACATTATTTGAACATGGGGAGGCAGAGAAAAGGAGCAGTCACTCAAATTTGCTTGGCTTCAAAATTCCAACTGTTCCAGTTCTCCTGACTCTTAGATGGGCCAAAGTCGTCACAATTGTTGGACCTGAGGCTTTGGATGACGCTTCTCGAGGTTGTGCAACTTGAAAGAGGTGGATACGAGTCGCCCCAGAGTGGAGCGGGTGTTTCTTGGTACAGCCTGACCCTGGGACTGAGTGTAGAGTTGGTGGGCCGCCTGGGCTGCTTGACTGGACAGCAGCATGTAGTTTGAACTCCACAGATCTGAGGAGCGCAATCCCGGGCGCACCCAGAATGGAGCCTCCGCGCAGGTCATTCCGAAACCTGGAGGTAACCCCATGAACATGTTAAGTAGACACTGGATGATTGAAAGGGTGGCTGCAAGTGTTTGTTGGATTTATAATCGGTTTGAGCACCTGGTGTCCTGGAGCAGAGGGCAGGGCGGAGCGGGAGGGAGACTGCTGGAACAGCGGCTGCGACTAGCGGGGCCGACTCCCCTGCTGGCCCAGGCCCAGTCGGCCCAGCCCCCGGTGGAATGGGGCACGGTCCCGGTAGACCCGTCACCAACGCCTCTGCAGAATAACAGTCAGAATACTACTTCCCTGTGCTTATTCAAAACTTTGACAACTAGGAGCAACGATGTTACCTCAGGTGCAGACGTCATCTGTGTCCTTTTTTTACTTTCTATTTTTCTTTATGATTGCACTCATTGGCTGATATGGTCTACTTTACTTTGCTCTTTAATTTGCTTTCACAAAGCGGGAGAATTTTAGTATCAATGTGAAGCCTAGAAATACAAAGATGCTGAGATTTCTAATTGACTACACTAACACAAGCAGGCATCTAGTAGAATTAGAGCACAATGCCTACACAATGAGTATGATATTCAAGCAACTACTGCTGGTCTGCATTGCTGTTCCGGAGTTGAGCCAGGCAGACCCGGCTTGCACCAGCCGGCGAGCACTACAGAATCACTGCGACCAAAATAAGAGGGAGTCACAAATGAGGTCAGAATTAATCATTTCCTCTCATTTGGCACTGCACCGCTCGTTCCCAGCTACACACACGTAAATCTACACTACCCACACTGCAGAGAGGCGTGCCGACAAACGAACACCCCCTCCGTCACTTACCGTAGGGATCGACGACGCCTTTGCCCCGGTTGATGTCGGCGTGCCCCTGGCCCTGCAACAACGGCGTCGTTGGGAAAATCAATTCCAAAGCCGGGAGCACGAGCGGGCGACAGCCGTAGGGGTGGGAGGAGCCACTTGCCGTGGTCTTCTGGATGAGGGTGAGCAGCGAGGGCAGGCGGTGCGCGTCGTCCTCCCGGCGGGGGCCGCCGTTGGTGCCGGGGGCGCCCGCCGGCCCCTGGGAGTGTCCCGAGTGCGGCTCGGCGTTGAGGGCGGCGTACTTCCGCAGGTCCTCGGCGCAGAGGGACTTGTTCTCCTTCATCATCTGGTAGATCTGTCGGGACCGAGCGACGGGGTGGGGTGAGTCAGGTCAGGAGGACGGTCCACGGCAGCGACAAAGTGCGGGGCAGTCGGGCGGCGCCAAGCGCGCTCAGCACACGCGGGCTGCGGCGGCGGGGTAGGCAGCGAGCTCAGCACACGCGTAGGCCGGGTCTGCCTACCCCTCGCCGGTCGGGCGCTGAGCGCGCTGAGTCGCGGCGGCGGTGCTCACCAGCTGCACGATGCCCTTGCTCTGCACCAGCTGGCCGCGCTCCTGCAGCGCGGCGGCTCGGACCGACTCCTCCGCCTCGACGATGGCCTCGGGCAGGAACGAGTTGAGGACGCACTTGGCGTGCAGCTTCTTCCCCGCAGCCTGTCGGGCAGAATAGGGGGCTGTGAGAGAGATCCCCAAGGTCCCAATGCGTCATAATCGCCTTGTTCAATTTTCTTTTGAAGTTCGACGGGCGGAGCTGTGTTGTCATGAACTTTACGAGCTTTGGTGAACTTCAGACGAACTTCAGTTAAACTTCGACTGAAACTTCAACGAATTTCGGTCAAATTTCAACGACTCGAGTATCTCTCCACCAGCTACCCACCGGCGGCTGCGCGGCGCCCCTCTTGCCCCGCGAGTTCCTGCTCCTCCTCAGCAGCGTGCCGGGCGCGGCGCCCACCCCGGGGGACTCGGGCCGCAGCCGCTCGTACTCGCGCCGGCGGGCCAGCGTCATAGAGCGGCGGGCCTCCTCCTCCTTCTGCTTGACCTGCAACAGGATCGGGCGCGACGTGATGAGCGCCACCTCCAGAGACAGTGGTCCCCGGACCGCGGCGCGCGAGCGCACCTGGCTCAGCAGCTCGGAGACTCTCTTGGCCTGCTCGTCGATGGCAGACTCTACGGCCTCTTTCTGCCCCGCCCCCGCAGGCCTCGCGCCCTGCGCCGCGCGGACCACGAGTCAGCCCAGTCCTCGGCCACAGAGGGAGCCGCGCGTCCCCGGCCCCGGCCCCGGCCCCGGCCTACCTCGTGCAGGTCGCGCTGCTGCCTGCTGGCCTCCTCGCGCGCCCGCGACGCGGCCGTCTCCTGGAACAGCGAGCTCTGGTTCTGGTGGAAGAAGGCCTCGTACTTGTCCGGCTGCCCGTCGGGCACCGGGTACACCCGCCGGAAGTTGCCCATGTTGCTGTCCTCCCAGTCAAACTGCGCCTTCCACGGGTTGCTGTCTGCCGTCAGCACGTTGCTGTCGGACCTGGCGGAGGATAAGGACGTCTCCGTCATCCACGCACGATTCGATGCCATCGATGTAGTCGATGTAGTCGATTTGTAGGATCCCGCCCGCTAGCACCCTCTACCGCCCTAAGCGCCCGCTACGTACCCGGTGTCCCGGTGCGCGATGCTCTGCAGCAGGCGGTCCCGCACGCGCCGCCGGTCCTCCTCCATGACCTTCCTCTTGTCGTACTGGCCGAGGTTCAGGATGCCGAACGTGTCCATGAGCAGCGTCTCCTTCACCTCGCGGTCGATCTGCGCGTCCGTGTGGAAGCTGGGCGAGTGGTTCACCTGTGGCAAAAATCATGGAGAAGAACTTGTGGTAGTCAAAGGAAGACTAGAAGACATCATTTTGACGCCTCATCGGTCTAAATTAAGAAGCTGGTTCAACTTGGCGTCCGAACGAAGCCCACGACCGCCCACGACTGTCTGCAATCCTTGGTTGAGGCGGGGCGAAGCAGGTCCGCCGGCAAAACTTCCGCACAGCACTGCACGCACCTCCAGCACGTAGGGCTTGAGCTTGTGGTCGAGCAGGACGTCGAAGCCGAGCAGCTCGAAGCAGGCGTAGGTGAAGTCGTGCGCGGGGAAGCAGGCGTGGTAGTTGTGCCGTATCACGGGCAGCGCCGCGATCAGGGTCTTGACGATGAGCTCGTCGATGCGCGCCCAGATGTCCACCACGTCGTAGTTCTTGCTCTCGAGCCACTTGTTGAGGGTCGAGATTTTCCTGTGGAGAGCGCGAATAGTGAGAACTTTCCTCTACGCGTTTAACGTGGGTTTCGCGCCGTCGGGTTTTCGCGCCTACCTTTTGCTCCCGGCCTCCTCGTCGACGATGAAAGTCCTGCTGTGCTTGTTGACGGCGTAGTTTGTGAGGTGCATGAACACGTTGGCAGTGTTGTGGCCGTTGGGCTCGTGGTAGGCGCTGGTCGCAAACCTGGGCGGGAGAGACAGACGGACAGGGTGGTGTGATCGGGACGTGACTTTGCGAAGGTCAGGGATAGGGGGGTGGGGGCGGGTGTGTTTGAGGGGGACAGGGGAGGAAAACAGAACCAACCTGTATTACCTGACAAGGCCGTCATTGTAGACAAACACTCTGAGCGGGTCACAGGAGGTCACCAGCGTGTAAACACGCATGTCAAACTTAAAACCGTCGACCAAAAACGGCTAAGGGAGAAAGGCAGGCATTGTCAAACTCATTCAGTAAAGAAATATGACGAAGACCGAGGTGCTCAGTGCTGGGTGGACTTACCCTGGCAATGTACACTTGGCAAATCATTCTAGTGTGTGGCTTAAGGTCGCGTACACTCCTCGTCAGGTATATTCCTTTCCCCTGGCATCCAGTGTCCGGCTTCAGAATGTATGTTCGATTCCTTCTCGTCCTAGCGTAAGTATTTAGATCACCCAAGCTGTGAATAATAAGGAGAAAAAATAATAAAGATTGTTATTTTGCCTCGATTTTGTTGTTGTTGTAAAGTTACTACTACTCACTCTGCAGGCAGGCACCATGTCTTCGGAAAAAAGTTGTAGTCTTTTGGAAAAAGTCTCAGCATTCTGTTCAGATTCCTCGCCAGCAGGTCCTTCCGGCATATCTCAGCCATGCCGGGGAAATGGTTGATTTTCTGGAAACGGCGAATGTGCGTGTTAGGCGCAGCTTCAAGGAGGCGGAGACGGACGAAAGAATCCATAACACGGAGATCAATGTCGGCGAGAGCGGCCTCAGTCGGGCGGGCATGTGGCCGTGTGCACATGGGCCGGGCGACACAAACCGACCCCGACCGGGCGCGGGACCCACTTACCTGAAACCTCTTCATGTCCTTGCACCGCTCCAGGGAGATGGACAGGTCCGTCCAGTACAGGTTCCACGGCTCGTCCTCGGAGACGTCCTTCATGCCGAAGCGCTTGGACACCCTGCGCACCACATCGTAGCGGCAGTTGGCGGTGCACAGCGACAGCGGCCTGCAAAGTCGACACGCCACGTCACTCCAAACAACGCGTCCAGATCTGAGCCCCGTGGAGAGGAGGCGGGAGATGACACCGGCTTATCCGGCCTCGCGGCGGCTGGAGGCATGGCAGCGGCAGCGGCAGCAAGCGGCCGACCCAATCGAAGATATGCTAAGCAGCCCGTTCTCCGCACACATTCGTCCGTCTTTGTCTCCCACACGGAGGGGGTGTCGCTATGCCGCCGCCGCGGGCCGCTCGCCGCGCTCGCCGTGCTGCCGAGGCCAGGTGTGCGCGCGAGGCGAGGGTTGCTCGCCGTCGCCAAGGTGAAGGCTCCCCTCTGCGAGTCCCGGGCGGGGCGGGGCCGGGCCGGCGTGTATAGGACGGGGGCCTTGCCGAGCACACACGCGATGGGCTGGCCCGATGGGCGCTGGGCCAGAATGCCGATAGGGTTCGGACCTTGATGGCCGGGCGCAGGGCGAAGGGACGTTGCCCCGGCGGCCGCGAGCACCCTCCGCACCCCGTGCACCCATCTGTGCACCCTGCACTTGGCGTCCTTCTTTAAT